ACGAAGACGAAATACGAAAAAAAATACAATACAACATCCTCCCGGAGAAAGCATTTAAGAAGAGTAAAATAATTTATTCTTCTTTTTTTTGTTTTACTCTGGTAATCTTCTTATATATTAATTAGAATACTATATAGCTAGTATATTAGAAAGGGGAACTAGATTGGGACATGATGGACTTATCGCAGAATTAGACTTTGTTTTAACTCATCCAAGATGTGATATCCGCAATTTAGAAACATTCTATAACAATTGCCTTTTCTCGTACGAGACGGTGCCTTTATTTTCAATTGTGACTCATATCCGGTTCAAAAGGCCTGACTTATTAAATAAATGGTCAAAAGAAAACGATCTAATACATAAAGTTAGCCAGGAACTGGATTTACTTAACGATGAAGAGATACCGTCTAAGCAAGGATTTATGATCAACGTTGATCTTACAAATGAAAAAACTATTAACGGTTACTATCAAGTTGCATGGGAGTCCGTCATGGACTATGAAACAATCAATGCTATGTTCCGGAAGAAACAAGTCAATGTACTTTGTGCTAGGTATGGAAAAGTGAACTTGGTTGGTTTTGTTAAAGTTGATGAGCATAAATACAATCTATATCTAAAATTAAAGGAGCAATAAAAATGACTTTCGCAGAAATGGATTCAATGAAAAAATATGAAATATCACTTCGCAGAAAACAAATACATCAAGGAGTGGTGACTTCTATTGAAACACACACTCCATTTGGTAAAAGCATGCAATGTGCGATCATTGACTTAGGCGATGACCTAAAGGGAATGATTCATGAGGATCAGTTCGATAAACAGCAGTTTAGATCATTGGTAGGATTTATTGATCACACGGTGGATTTTATGGTGCTAGATCCCAAAAAGCATGGAACAGATGCTGAGGACATACAAGTTTTTGACCGTGAAAAAGGTATTGTTCTCCTTTCGAGAGTTCAAGCATTAGAGGAACTACAAGAAGAGTTTTGGGATACTGCAGAAGAAGATCATGTCTGTAACGGCACAGTATCAGGTTTTGAAGAGGAACGGATATATCTCATGGTAAAAGGAGTAGTCTGTATCCTACCAATTTCAGATTATGAATATGATTGGACTACATCAGGTAAAAACTTGCTTCCACTGGGTGCTCAGGTCACAGTGAAAATCAAAAAAATCGATAGAGAAAAAAAACGGGTTACTGTAACAAGAAAAGAGCTGCTAGAAGATCCGTGGAACCGGGTAAGAGATCGGTTTAAGCAAGGTGACTTTCATCGAGGAATCATCACAAGTATCGTGGAGAATACCGGCATATTCATTAAATTATGTCCAGGCGTTGAGTCATTAGCTTGGTTTCCAAAAAGAGTGCCTTCCCATGGCGAACTTATTGGAAAGACAGTTTCTGTTTTAATTGGAAAAGTAGATCCTGAAGCAAGAAAAATCAAGTCTAAAATCGTACATTTTCCCCATGAAATCATGGGGTAGGAGGCATTTAGATGGAGCATATGGTATCTCCGTTAATCAACCCAGAAGAAGCGAAGGTACCTACATATCCACTCCTTGATGATCCTTACAGTTATGTGTCTGAGATAGATGCACTAACTAAACATCAATACTATTACATTGAACGGAAGATTGAACAAGGGTGGATTACAAGTAGGGATATAGCTATAGTTCGTTTTGTTTATGTACACCGCTGGGTTACCTTATCACAAATTGATCGAATTTTTTTTCCTGAAGCGGATAGAGAGAATACAGCAAGAACCCGTATGAAAAAATTACTTAAATATGGTTTGCTCAGAAAAATTAAATGGACAAGCTACTCAAAAGGTACTGAGATTAGACCAGCCCTTTATGAAGTTGGTGCAAGCGGTGCAGATGTACTAAAATTTCGATTTGCAATGTTCCTGGGACAAAGAGATCCGAGACATTCTAAACCTACAACAATGTTATTTCGAATGAAATATGTTGCCGTTAATGAGTTATATCTTCAAATGAGGGAAGAATTCAATCTGGTTCACTTTGAATTTCATCCTATATTGAAAAATAATGACGATCAACAGGTTCCTACTGCACGGTTTTCATTAAAAATCCATCTGGGAAAGAAGTAGATTTTGTTCTCGTCTGTCACAGAGAAGATGAAAATTGGCTAAAAACAATTCGCTATCAGGCAATGTTTTATGCGGCATATAAGACTGTAAATCGCTCATTGAATTTGTTGATTCAAGTATCAACTTATGAAAAAGCTAAGATGGCAAACAATGTGTTTAGTCAAGAAGGATTGGAGTCGGCTTGGTATATAACAGATGATGATCTTTTTGATAAAACTAAAAACATTGCACAAAGTTTTAGCTCTATTGATGATGAGGGCAATTGTACTTACTACGATCTTGGAACACGTTAGGTGGTGATTTAATGAATCGAGTAATAATCTGTTCATCGGAAAGAGATGAATGTGATTTTCTAAAGAAGAATTGGAGGATTTCGGGAAAGTCGTAAAGTTGTTGAATCTTTAGACTTTTTTATATCGCAGTGGGAATCTAGCACTTCAATAAACACGATTATTTTTTCAGAGTACATTGTTAAAAACACCAGTTCTTTTGAAAAACTAATAAAACAAGTCAAAGCTACAAGTCCAGAAGTGCAAATGTTATTTTTACATTTTAGAGAGATAGACGGATTCATGCAATCTCTTTCTGATTTAGGGATAATCTGCATCTCATATATTGATTTGACTCCTGGAATGATACTCACAAAACTTCAGACAGAATCAAGAAAGCAAGCCGCCCAAGATATTCCAGTATTTATAAAAGAGGAAACTTCCGATAATATTGATGAAAATTCGGGGGATACATTCTTATATACAAGGAATGAGCAAGAACCAAAGAACCAGGTGCATATGCCAGAGCAGACGGTTTCACGTGTTGAGGAAGAACCAGAAATTCTGGATGATAATCAGGAAAACACTAATTCTTCTGAGAAAATCTTAAAATCAATGATTCTAAAAGGTAAAGAATTGAGAAAAGTTTTAGAGATAAAAAAAAGTCATTCGGACATAAGGATTGAAGATTTAAATTTCGATCCACTTCTCCAAAAACGTAAAAAGGTTAGAGATCGGTTTATTGGAACAATCATAATAGCCATAACTGGGGTGGAAAAAGGGGTAGGTTGTACTCATACATCCTTGTTAATAGCGAATTATCTTGCAAAACAGAAGTTTTCTGTGGCTTTGGTTGAAGCAAACGAATCGAACGAATACAAGGAAATAGAGTCCTCATATGAAGGTGTAGACTCAGATCTATTGATTAGTAGTAGTTTTTATATTAATGGAGTACATTTTTTAAAAACCAAAAACAACATCGATGTGATTCCACTTTTATCCGGTGAATATGCATATATCGTGCTTGACCTAGGGAACTATGTTGAAACCGAGTCATACAATGAATTTCTTAGAGCAAATATTCAAATTGTCGTGGGTTCAAGTCGGGATTGGAAGCAGCATAAAATTGATGAATTTATTGATAGCCAAATTCATTTAGACCAATCAAATTGGAGGATATGCCTACCATTATCTAAAAAACAAGATGTAAAGGATTTGAAAAAGAAATTGAGCCGACGGCAACTGTATACAGTACCATATTTCTCTGATCCGTTTGACTCTTCTGAAGCAATTGAAGATTTTATGGAAAAAATGCTGAAAATCAATCAGCAGCATAGACTCTCCTTACTTAGAAAAAAAATGCTGAATGTATTTCAGTGAATGGAGGTGGTGGTATTCTAACTAATACCTATGTCATCGAAGTCATTACGGCCGCAGTATTTTGGTTTGCGCTCATCCAATTGCCGAAAAGAAATACTCAAATTTACAACGGTGATTTTATTTTCGCATGTATTCACCTAATGACATTAACTTCTCTTTCCATTTATAATTTTGAACTCGTAACAGTGACGTCTGAAATCTGCTATATTTTTTATTTTTACAGATTGAATAGCATATTCCGACAACACATCTATAAGAAAGAGAAGATAATGATTGTTATTGGGTCGTTGATTCTTATACTATTCTATATTTTCACTTCAATAAATTTAAGCATTGTTTTGTTGATTGTAGTATTACTCTGTGTAAGAGAAGAAGTTCGTGCAAGTACAAATCTTTTATTAGGAAGTATTATTCTAGGTTTGCTTACAGCAATAAGTTTTCTTCAGACGACCTTAAATTTTACTGCCGGAGATACATATTCGGTGTTACGAGTGCTGGTGGGAATTTATTTAATAGTATGCGTGCTGAATATTTACTTGAAGATAATGAGAAGCACATATAACCGCTCGATCACAGATTCGCAAACTGGGGTATACAACCGTAATAAAATTCATCAAATCATAGAGAATTTGTGGTCAAATGACCAGGCACGTCTATCTTTAATGTATATGAGTTTGGATAATCCTATTTCATTGAATTCAGAGGTTGAGGATACTGAAGATGATAAGGTTCTACATTCAGCTGCAATAATATTAAAGAGTGAAATAGAACCATTTGGCTATGTAGGTAGACAGAAAGGACTGGAATTTCTTGCTGTAGTGAATGACTGTGATGTGCAATCCCTGGCGGAGAGTATACGAAAACGAATTACTGAAGAAGTTGTTCATACCACCAATGATGGAGTAGTAAAGCCAGTACCTATAAGTATTGGAATTTGTGAAAAGTTTGATGGTTGGAGCACAGAACGAAACATAAAATACGTGGTGAAAGCAATGGTCATGGCGAAATTAGAAGGGGTTAATCAAGTAGTACAGTTGGAAGAAGAAATATAAACATTATATTACTATACTAATATAATAGTATAATAGTATAGAAATATATATTGAATGGTGGAGGATAGACAATGTCAAAGATACGATTTAGGCAGAAGAAAGTACTCATTGCAGGAGGGATTGGCGGCCTTATTGTGCTACTGATTTGTATTCTAGTTGGAATATTGTACGTTAATCACTTAACTGGAAAAATGAACGGTCAACGACAGGCTCTTGAACAGGAACTTGAACAGACTCAACAAGTGCTGAAAGAAGAAATGGTTGAGGTTGAAATAGTGACCCGGGACATCCAATCAGGTGAGTCAATTCGGACCAACGATTTAGAAACACGGAAAATTCCAAAGAGTGTAATAGCCGATGAGGAAGTGCTGAGCAAAGAGCTCATTAATGGCAAAATTGCGAAAGTGGATCTTCCACAAAAGTCACCAGTCACGGCTTCAGTAATCTATGAAGATGAAGTGACTACCCGGGATATCCGGAACCAAGAGTTCGGTCTGATTGAGCTTCCGATCAAGCTGAAGCAAAACGATTATGTCGATGTTCGGATTAAACTTCCGTCTGGACAAGATTACATCGTGCTCAGCAAGAAACGGGTTGAAGACCTGCAGAACGGAACCGTTTGGTATCAGATGTCCGAAAAAGAAATCCTGAATATGTCTTCAGCCATCGTAGACGCGTACATTAATGACGCAAGTATCTATGCTTTGACGTATGTTGAGCCTGGTATACAGGAGAAAGCATATACAACCTACCCGGCCAATAAGTCAGTGTTGGATCTGATCGATTCCGATTCGAATATTGTTCAGAAAGCAACCAGCGAACTTGAACGCCGGAATCGCGTGAAACTAGAAGAAGCTCTTAATGCAATGACTCCGCAGCAGCGGCAGGAATTTAAAAGTAATCGTAACACGCAACAGACGGCTGAAGAGCAAGCTGCTGCAGAGCAAACAACATATCAGCAGCAATCCAATGATCTGATGAATGAAACGAGTACAACACAACCTCAAAATACGGAAACGATTTTTAACGATCAAAATAGTGTAGGTGGGACACCATGAAGCAGATCCTATTCATTGGCGCTTATGAGAAGTCGGATATCTTATTCTATGTAGCCAAACTTCTATCCGTAGAACATAGCGTATTAATCCTAGATGTCACAGCCTATGTGGACTACCAATACGCTTATCCGAAAGTCGAAGGACAAGACGGAGTACGGCAGCACGATCGCTTTGACGTGATTGAGAATGCCACGCTGGAGACGTATCAGGAGCTGCAAAAAGAGAGTAAATATGATTTTGTCCTGGTTGACATCAGTCGTAAAGATGAGCTGCAGCGGTGGCCAGGTGCAGCTCAATATTATCTTGTCACATCGCATGACAACGCAGTAATGCAACGTAATGGTGTCCTGATGAATTCATTCTTCCAAGCGAAGAGCCAATCGGATCTGATACCCATTCACAAGTTAATTCAGGAATCAGCCGTTTTCCCAGAAGAAGTCATTCAGGAGTCGTTTACGAAACACCCGATTGACTGGAAGGAGTCTTTTATCTTCTACCCAGACGAAAGGGACTTGGAAAGCAAATATATGAATCAACATTTATCTATGATGCATACCAAGAAGCTTTCAGGCGATTTTAAATTAGCATTACAGCGCGTTACAGCCCAAATCTTAGGAATGACAGCTAAAGAGGCAAAAGGGCTCTGGAAGCAAGCAGAAAGGGGAAAATAACGTATGGCAATCATATCATTTTGGGGCATACAGCATGGTTTGGGCGTAACAAGCAGCACAGCTGCTGTTGCGGCACTCATCGGAATGGAGTACCAAGTACGAACGTTGGTTTCACAACCACAGTGGTCAGATAATACGCTTCAACGCATTTTAAAAAAAACAATTCAAAATCAAAATCCACAAGGATTTCAAACCAGTGGAGGGCTGGATGCTCTTGAAAGAGCGGTTCGGTCAGGGAGATTCGAACGGGAGTCTGTGAAAAACAATTCGCTGATTCTAGTACCAGACCGGCTCGATATTTTGAAAGGTACAACAAAAGCAGATCGTGGGCAGTTTGACGAGGCAAGTGAAGTTATCAACCTCATCTATCAGAAGGCAACCGAATATTACGATCTGGTTCTGCTTGACTTACATAGTGGCCGAAACAGCCCGGTAGTCCTGGATGCATTAAATCAATCAGATCTGATTGTCGTGTGCTTATCCCAAAACATCAACGTGCTGGAACGATTCTTCTTGCAGCGCGAACAGCAACCTGAAGCTTTTCAGAATAAGCCATTCGTGATCCTGCTCAGTCAGTATGATGAGGATTCAAAATTCAAAGTTAAAAATATCTGCAACAAGTATCGGTACAAAGGGCCAGTATTCACAATGCCGTATAATACCAGCTTTAAAGATCACAGTAATGACGGCGATATTCAGGCATTTTTCCGGAGAAACCAGCAGCTGATGAAGTTTCATCCAAATCGATTCTTCATTGAAGAATCACGCAAATTAGCGTTGCACATCTTGAACGAATCGGGAATCAACACCCAGGTTAAGCAAATCTCAGGAAAAGGAGCATGAGTAGATGGACTCATCAATCATTTTCAATATTCTGTTCATTGCTCTTATCATATCTGGATTAATCGGGTTGCTCCTTTACTTTCTTTGGAAGAAACCAAAACGCCCCAAGGCAGATTCGGTCCAGGCTCAAGCAGAAAAATACTCTATTCCAATACTGGTTGAGTATACGAAAGTCACGATTAACGAATTCATTAACACCAACTTAATGGATATGGGACTGTCTGGAGAGGAGTATGAGCGCCGGCAAGCCGTGGTCAATGAACTTAGAAACGCAATGCGAAACGCCATCTCCGGTGAAATTCGGGACAAGCTTTATTTGAAAGAACATATTGAGGCTATTTTGGAACACGATTATGGACTCAATGAAAAAAATATTGACTTAGTAATTCCATTTAATCAACCAGACCGTTTAACTTCTCAGGATCGATTCGACATCCTCATGAATCATTTTAAAAAGAAACATGGATACAAAGCACTGACTTTCATGATTGAGAAGCATAAATTGGGCTTGCTTAAACGGATTATCGAGGGTGGAAAATCGGAGTCCTACGTAATTACTGAAGAGGAGATCCAAGCTGTTTATCGTAAAGAAATCCGCGGACTCGACTTCAAAGATAAGCTCGATGTCATCGTTCAACGGGTGTACCAGTTATACAAAGGCTTCGGTGTTACAGATGAGATCAGGGACATGAACATTGATGGTTTGTCTGGTGGGGTCTCAGGAGCCCCAAGCAAGATGACAACGGTGGAACATGTTGCTGAGTTGGTGGGGCAAATGCGCAGCAGTAAACGTGGAAATAACTCTGTGTGGATTTTCTATAAAGGTAAGACGATTCACCTTTCATTTTTGGAATTTGAAACAGACTTAGAGCTCAAGCGTGTAGCTCAAAATATTTACAAGCACAACAGCCCTGGCCCGTTAACCGAGACATCCGGTTTTGTAGTCAACGATATGGCAGACGGATCCCGGGTCGTGGTTGTCCGGCCACCATTCGCAGAAAGTTGGGCTTTCTGGGTTCGGAAATTCGATATTCCGAATCTATCGATTGAAAATCTGATTCCGGATACTTATGAACAAGCCGATTTAGCAAGGGAACATGATCAAAATCTGATGAAAGGTGCCCAGACTACCGCATACACCGGTAAGACGGGTGCTGGTAAAACCTCTCTCATGATGACGAGTATCGGGTTCATGTATGCCTTCCTAAATCTGAGAACCGTCGAATTGATTTTTGAGCTTAATTTGCGGCAGCTGTACCCAGAACGAAATTCGATCGCGTTTCGAGAGCTTCCGACCATACCTGGACAAGAAGCGCTCAACTTGAATAAGAAGACGGACACGGACGTCAGTATCTTAGGTGAGGTTTCCAGCCAATCGGTAGCGACCTGGATGATTCAGATGACACAAGTTGGTAGTTTGTTCACAATCTTCTCGCATCACGCGGTGACCACACGACAACTGATCAAATGGTTCCGAGATGCACTTCTGGCCATGCAAATTATGCAAGACGAGCGTTTGGCGGAAGAGCAAGTGGCAGAAGCCATCAAGTGGGATATTCATGTGACCAGGGATCAACAAGGGAATCGCTATATTGAACGCATCACAGAAATTACCCTTGTCCAATACGATGAATCTTTCTTTGAGAACACCAATGATTATGAACAACTGATGAAAGAAAGCATCCGCAGAAAACACGGACCACTTTGGAAAGAGAGAAACATTTTGGAGTACAGGGACGGCGGCTATGTAGCGGTCAATCCGATCTCTCCAGATCGAATTCAAGAAATGAGAGGAAACATGTTGGCGGAAGATCAGATCGCCTTTGATGCATTCATCAGTAAACATTGGGGAGGGAACTAATACATGAAAATTTTGTTTATCATTCTCCTCTCCATCTCGGCTATTTCAGCTATTCCGTTGATCTTCTATTTCGTAAAGTCCAAAAGGGATCAGAAGAAATCCGTTGATATGTTTCACGCAAGCCGTGTTCAAAAACGAACAAATGCCAAAATGATGGTGTTTTATCAAAAATCATATGATCGGTTCTCCAATATACCCATTCTTCGTAACCAACTTGCCAGCATCCGCAAAAGGTTATCGCTGATCAATACGTATGATGAATTCACTATTCGTAAAGAAACCATGCGAATTACGTTTTGGATTCTCGGCTCCATCTTTGTCGGTATTACGGTCATTGCCATTGTGAGCTGGAATCTGATTGCGATCATGATTGCGATTGCTGTTGCCATTGTCGCTAACGGCATGTTGATTACAGTATTTGTAAACAAAGTTGAGGATCGATTACTCAAACAGTTTGCGGATTTTTTGGAAGAAAATCGTCATGAATATCAAGAGTCACGGCGGGTGGACGATGCCATGTATGATGCAGCTCAGATTGCGCCTCATACAACCAAGCTGCAGGCCGAAAAGATCCATGAAGTTATTTCTTCGGAGGATCCACAACGCAAACTGAGTGAATATTATGCGGTTGCGCCAAATAGGTACTTGAAAATCTTTGCTGGGGTGGCCCACATGGTCATGGAGTATGGTGATAAGCCTCTGGCCAAAGGTTCCATGTACCTGGGGACCATTACTAAATTCGTACAGCAAATTAGATATGATCTGCTTCGCAGAAGGCTATTGAATTACAAATTACAAGGATTGACCATGATCGCACTATCACCGATTTTGTTATCCTTTCCAGTCCGAAAGTGGTCCGAAACCTATTTTCCGATAACTGCAGATTTTTACAGCAGCCGGATCGGATACATTATCTTAATTCTCATTTTTGCTTCATCCATTATCAGTTACATGTTCATCCGAAAAGTCGGCGAGCTGGATGAGGACAAAATGAAAGGCTTTTCTTCCGAGAAACAATGGGAAAAGAAAGTCTATTCCTGGCCATGGGTAAAGGCGGTTGTTGATCGGATGGTTCCCGAGCGTCACACAAGAGCCCATTACATACTAACAAGGCTTCTAAAAGAATCAAACTCGCCACTAACAAAAGAGTGGTTTTATATACAACGATTGACGGTGGGTTTGGCCAGTTTTATCACCGTTGTCATCCTGTGCGTTTTCTTACACTACAATGCCATTCATCAAATTATGACGAACCCAACAGCTGGACAACAAAATGTGATGGGGACGTTATCAGGCGACGAACTACTAGATGCGAATCGAAGAACAGCAGCTGACAACGATATAATAAACTATTTCAAGGAGGTGGACGTAAATTTCAGGGAACTGAAGGATCAGTCTAGGGAGGACCTGGTTCAGATCATTCAGTCCAAGACCGGCATAAACATGAACGCAGCTGAGCTTGAACAGGCAACGGAGCGGATCCTTACAAAAATGGAATCGATTCAGAGCGAGTATTTCAAATGGTGGGAGTTATTAATAGCTATCGGAGTTGCGATTATCGCCTATTACATACCGCTATGGATTCTCTTATTTAAGCGGCGCATGCGGGCGATGGAGATGCAAAATGAGGTGGATCAGTTCCATACGTTAATTTCAATCCTCATGCAGTTCGATCGGATGTCGGTAGATACCGTACTGGAATGGATGGAACGCTTCAGCGTCATCTTCAAGACACCTTTACGCCGAGCTGTACTGAACTATGAAAGTGGCGCAGAGCAAGCATTGCAGGCTTTGCGGGAAGAAGCACCTTTTGAATCCTTTGAGCGGATCGTCAAACGCTTAATCCGTGCCAGTGAAAAAGTCTCGGTTGCGGAATCATTTGCTGACCTAGAAATGGAGCAAGAATACTATGCGAAGGATAAAGAGGATAAGCTTACCCGACTAATTTCGCAAAAAGCAATCTTGGGCCAAGCCATAGGCTTTGTTCCAACAACAATACTGATCTTCTTATACTTAGTTTTCCCAATGCTCTACATGACATTACAGAGCATGTCATCCGTTAACCAAATTTTATAGAAAAGGGAGAATCACATCAATGCTTGAGAATGTACCAACGTGGCTAAAGGTCACCGGAGGAATTTTTTTAACTGTACTGTTAATCACTTTTGTTGTCGGTTTCGTCATGTTCGCGATGGACAAGAGCCAAGAAGGTAGAGAAGAAGTTACAGGTGTCTTCAATAACCTGACTGATGCTAAATACACCATGTATTCAAGAGGACCTAACTCTGGCAGCGAAGTAATTAATGCCATTCGTCAATATTCATCTAGACCTCAATTCGGAATCAAAGTCATCACAGGTAAAGGTGACACTTCTTTCTACGGAAACACATTCCAAGAAGATGGAACTGTCTCAACGACGAACAAAATTACGGATTATAGTAAGGCGGAAGATCCAAGCTCTCCCGCATACATCAACCTTTCTGGCAATTTCGAACCGAAAATCGTTCGAGATGCTAATTCAGTAGTAGTCGGCCTCATTTTCACACAACGGAAGTAAAGAACTTCAACAGCTTCCCTTCTCAGTAGAACAAGAAGGGGAGCTCAAGAAAGGAGAGATACCATTGAATGAAAGTGTAAGTGACTATTTCTATTACGCTGCGTGGATCATGCTTTTCTTAATTGCCTTGGGAACAGCATCAACTGATCTCAGCATCCAGCAACGAACGCAACAGTCCATGCAAGAAGCGGCCACCGTCGACCACAGATTATTTACCACGTTTGGTTCGGTCGAAGAAGAGACGTACAGCGGTGCAGAAGTGCTGCAAAGCATACAGCGCATTCAAGACATTAGGGCGAACATCCAAGTCGAGGGAGTCACTTTCCAGCAGACGTTGGATATCGACAGTGCAGACGTATCTATGATTAATCTACGCAAGACGTACAACGTGCAGTATGTGCGAGACGCGATTGGGACAGTAACAACCATTATTTTCACATAAGGAGGAGGGCATGATTGAATGGTTCCGCATTTTCAAAGATCTTTGCATCATTTCTAGCCATCATACTCTTGTTTATTTATCCCCTATATCAAAGCATGGAACGACAGGATGACCGATCGCAAATGGTTGTTCAAAAGTCAGTTACCCGGTTTGTAGATGCTGTACGAACCAAAGGATATGTGACACCAATCATGTATAGGCAATTCAATGAAGAAATAGCGGCTACCGGAAACGTATTTGATATTGAAATGGTTCACGAAAACAAGCTTTACATTCCTGTATATCGGGATCCGGCAAACCCAAGCACGTTTGAAGGCAAATATATCACCGATTTTAGTAATTTCTACACGGACGACATCATGAAGGTCATGTTTCCCGATACAACAGAGCCTGATCAGAGTGAAACCAGACGATATCATTTGGAAGTTGGCGATTTCTTCACAGTAACGATTAAGAACAAAAATCGAACGCCGGCAACGCATATGCAAGATATGTTACTGGCCGGAAGCACAGGTGATAACACCAAAATTTTTGTACCTTACGGTGGGATGGTAATCAATGAAGACGACGTGTGACTTGTTCCGCTATAACCGAACAATTCGGGAAAAGCGGGGACTTAACTAAATAAGTCCAACTTTGCGACCGAGAATTGGAAAGAGGGAACCATGTATCCTGAAACAATTCCGTTAATCTCCTGCGTGCGTGACACGGACAGCGTGTCGGGTATGAAGCACAGGTGAAGTCGGCAGAAGGGAAGCTGGAGCCACTCTATTGAGAAGGTATGCTAACTGATATGCCGGATGGCTGAAAAGCGGACTATGGTGAGAATGGTTGTAAAAAACCTGACGAACCTCCGAATGTACGGGTCTAAATTCATAACATATGGAAACATATGTACTGACAGAAGTCAGGGTGGATAGCGTAGAGTACGATTGTAGTCTAGGAAACACGCTATATCGAACAATGGCGATATCAAGTCCACAGGCTCAAAGGAGGCACCTAAGGTCTAGCAAGCATAGCTAGGTCACAAGGTACAAGGAAAGCAAGGAACGTCGATTTACAGGACTGTCATCCTAGACGTCTACTATAAGGCAGAAATTTGCTGAAATGTACTAATCCTTGTGAGAGTAGAGGCACGACCAATGAAGTGGCTGTAATGGCTACGGAGGAACAGCCTCAAGTCTTTTTAGATAATAAACAATTTTTCCGAAAAGTGAATTGCACCGATCAGGTAGGAACGTGGGGAATCACCGTAAGGAGGTGAAGCCACAGTGCAAACTCTTCGATACTGGGACTACTACGACATGACGAGTACTTTTACTGATTTACACGAAAAAGCACTAGGAAGAAAAAAGTTCGATAATTTATACGGGCTAATAAACTCACATCAGAACATCCTCCTAGCTTTTCGAACAATTAAATCAAACAAAGGCTCACTTACACCAGGAACAGATGGCAAAACCATAGAGAATATAAAGACACTAACAGAAGAAGAGATTGTGAGCCACGTAAGAAACAAGCTTTTGAATTATCAACCCAAAAAGGTTAGGCGAGTCCTTATACCAAAACCTAATGGAAAGAAAAGACCGTTAGGCATTCCATGCATAGTTGACAGAATCATTCAGCAATGTTTTAAACAAATTATTGAACCAATTGCGGAAGCTTACTTCTATAAACATAGTTACGGGTTTAGACCGGTAAGATCAACACACAACGCTCTAGCGAGAGTACAACATCTTATAAACACAACCAATCTCCATTATGTCGTTGATGTTGATATTCAAGGATTCTTCGATAATGTGAACCACACATTGCTTTTGAAACAACTATGGAATATGGGTATTAGGGATAAAAGAGTACTTCGAATCATCAGCAAAATGCTTAAAGCTGAAATTGAAGATGAAGGGATACCGTTGAAAGGCACACCACAAGGTGGAATCTTATCTCCTCTCCTGTCAAATGTAGTATTAAATGACTTGGATCAGTGGGTTGCAGGACAATGGACAAACTTCGAAACTCAATACGCCTATGCAGGAGACTATCACAGGATCAGAGCACTCAAGAAAACCAATCTTAAAGAAGGATATATTGTGCGATACGCCGATGATTTTAAAATTCTTTGTCGGGATTGGAAATCAGCTCAGAAGTGGTATCACGCTGTAAGACTCTATCTTAGAGACCGCCTTAAACTAGACATCTCACCCGAAAAAATCACAGATTGTAAACCTCAGGAAACGTAAATCTGATTTCCTGGGATTCACAATATGGGCTGAGAAAAAAGGAAAAAGAAGAGTCGCCTATACGGGTATAAATGAAAAGAAGAGAGCAGAAATCAAGAAGCAAGCAAGAGAGCGCATTAAGAATCTGCACAAAGCACCAATTACTCAAAACGCTCTTCTCTTCAATAGCTTTGTACTTGGTTTACACAATTACTTTTCACGTGCAACACATGTTAGTGTAGAGTTCTCACGACTTGCCTTTGATCTGAAAGCATTCACATACAATCGTCTCAAAGTTATTGGTAAATACCAATATCCTGATAATGCCCCGCCAACCTTCAAGAAGTTCTACAGGAACAGATATAGAACCTTTAAAGGTCGAGGTGTATATCTCTTTCCGTTCAGAGATGTAAAAACGGTTAACAACCTATGCTTTCAGCAGACGTTAAATCCGTATACATCAGAAGGAAGAAAGAGACTTCATAGGGATTTAAAGACGGATATTAGATATGAACTAATTAAACTAATGCAGTCAAACATACCAAACCGTAGCATTGAATACCTGGATAACAGACTGAGTAGATATAGTATGCAGGGTGGCAAATGCGAGATATCTGGCATTTTACTAACTGCTGATTACGTGCATTGCCATCATCTTTTGCCAATCCATTTAGGTGGGACAGACGATTTTAGCAATCTACGTATTCTACACAAAGATATCCATAAACTTGTTCATGCTACAAAATCAGAGACGATTGTCAAACTCATGTCGCCGTTTGGATTTTCAGACTCTACGATTCAGAAAATCAACCTGTACCGAAAAATGAGTAACTTGGAACCTATTGTAATAAAAATCTAAAAAGATGGAGCGCCGTGTGCGATGAAAGTCGCACGCACGGTGTGGAGAAGGGGAAAAGGCGGTGATTATATCAAATCCTTACCTATTTCTATTAACCTGGCCATCATATTTCTTCTCATTGTCGTACCGTTTTATCTCATATTGGATATGCGAACATCGGATCAGAAGCTAGTTAACCGGCTAGAAGCACAGTATTCAGTAGCATTACATACGGCTGTCCAAGATGCGGCGTTTGCCTTGAATCAAAATGAGTATCAGGAGAATGAAGCTTCCTATCAATCCAGCAAGTATTTCAATGCGAATAAGGAAGCTGCCATCGAGACATTTTGGAAAACCATGAACCTTAATTTTGGTGCAGGAGAGGATCCGGTATCCCAGGGCACGCTGGCAACATACGTCCCAGTTGTAGCTGTTACCGACTATAGCGGATTCCATATCTACGCATTTACGGAGTATACGGACGCGGGTGGGAACAAGCTCTATAAACACGAATGGAAACCGGAGAAACCTTATGCCTACAGCGATCAAGCGGGGAACAGCATTAATTTCACCTTGGACAGTTACGTAACTGCGTATGAGGCAAGTACAAGCACCTGGCTGAAGGGTTATCGTAAGGAGTTGGAAGGACTTACGGATATTGCACTATTGAATGATGAAAAGCGGTTTGATGAGATGCGGCGCAGAACCATTGTGAATGCAGTTCAAAAAGATGTGGCCTATTTCATCAATCAACATAATCAATTTGCTCTTCGACTTGGCATTTACTATGATTTTAAAATTCCTCTGATTCCTAATGAGGAATGGACAAACAGTGTAGATGACATTGGGATTATGGCATTCATTCAAGGCTTGCCGGTAGGGCACCAGTTCTATAACAATTACGCATTTGGTAGTGGCCGGATCGTAAAGAAGAATGTCGTGTATGGAGCGATAGATGAAAGTACTGGTCTGAAATACTATTATCGCAGTAGTTATCCACTGAACATGCGAATTGAGGAAACGTTCGCATCAGAAAAGGACGCTGCAGCTGCAGGATACATGCCTGCAAAAGGACTCAATACCAGATAGCTGCTAGTGGGATCTGTGCCGATTATACAAAAGGAGCTGAAGATTTAATGAAATTTGAATCCCATCCAGTAAATCAAACCAAGGCAGGGAAAGCAAAAAGTATACTACGTATACAGAATCTTTTAAAGCTCAAGTCACAAGATTCGAAAGTCATTAAGTCAGCCTGGGAACTACAGGTGAAAGAAAATAGATAAAAATCGGCACAGATCCGAAAAGCAACGATTAAAAGCAATGTTGCCTTCCGGCTCTGCTGGAAGCCTGCGACCTTCTATGTCACTTGCCGCGACTTGGACCAGCGTATCATGACCCTTGAAATCGTCAAGGATTTGCCGCTGCGCGTTCCTGCCTTGACGATTAAGTTCAACTACTCCGGCAGCGTCTTCGTCGCTTGGCGGAGCCTCCAGTTGAACTACGGGCGAAGCCTGTTATGAACGTATATTCGGCATGATAAGCTTGTGCCAAGCGGCAAGCATAACGGTCGCCACCGATCATATCTGATCCCACATACATCGAAGAAAGGACGAAAACTATGGAAGTAGAGATCATTGTTCGTATTACCAAAGAAGGATGGACTGAAACACTGAAAGTAGACGGCAAGGAGTTTAACAAATCTTATGTCAAAACAAATACCTGATCTGCAGGAGAACAAACTTGTTGGGAAGACGATCCCAAGGCTCCAGAGATGGCCTATCCAGCGTTTGATGAACTGACGAATGGCTGTCAGGAAGCGATGTACGTTCTCCGATCATTCGATGAAGGTTGTTAACTGCAGGTATTGGAATTACCGATACAAATAGGGACTATTAATTTTTGAGGGGAGACATTTCGAATGAAGATGAAAAAAGTATTGTTGACGGTTGTAGCAGGGGCGATGATGTTCACGGCAGTAGGGTTTGGTGGATCTGCAGCACACGCTGCAACAACACCGAAGCAAGTCGAAGTTTTGTTAAACACGGTGAAAATGAAGTTTCCGGATGCGAAGCCGTTCCAAGATGGTCAAGGCAGCGTCATGGTTCCAATCCGTTTCGTTTCTGAAGCCCTGGGCGCTAAGGTAACGTATTCTAAAACTGGAAAAGTGTCCAAGGTAGGCATCAAGTCCAAGGATCACACGGTAGATATGACGATCGGACAGACAACTGCGACCGTTGATGGTCAAAAGAAAGACTATGGAACACAAATCATTTTGAAACAGAATCGTACATTTGTTCCTTTGCGACTGGTCAGCGAGGGACTCGGCCAAAAAGTAGAATGGGATAAGATCGGACGCTGGGTATGGATCGGAAACAAGGATTTCAGGAGTACAGATGACAAGGGATTCAAACTTACGAAACTGAGTGATTTCAAGTCATACACCAAGAGCGACAATGTTTTTAGAAATATGAATAAAGAAATGTATAGCGGTGTGAAGATCATTAAGGAAAGTGATCTACCAATCCAATTAGGAGAAGGTCAGGTCGTATACAGTATCGATATGGTGAAAAGCAAAGTGTCAGGGGAAGATCTGGTTCAAGTTCGAAGCAATGATAGAGGTAACCCCATTGCTTTTATGGTGAAAAATGATTTTGCTAAAAATCGTGGCGTAATTGATGTATCTTTTGTAAACAACGGCGATAAAACAGGGATGAACTATTATCCTGTAGTTAGTGAATCAGACAAATTCCAAAATGGTGAATATGTACAGAACTATACTGCATGGATGAACTTTAAGGTTACTCAAGCAGACTATATTCTTCTTAGAGATGGCGACCTCGATAAATATGCTGTAGCGATAATTAATCCGTTCAAGTAAGGGGATGAACAGGATGAAGCGAACGATCAATTCTATATTAAGTCTAGTACTTATTTTGTCCTCTGTCCTTGTTATATTCACGTATAATCCAGGACAAGCAGAAGCAGCCACATACTCTATTAGCTCAAGTAGGCTCCTGCAAGACAAGGACAACCCCAATTTGTATTACTTTGTAGGGATGGTTTACTACGAAGTATGGAGCAATTCTGCAGGGCAATGGACGGGTGATGGTTTTCAGCCTGGATCCAAAGTTCCTAGAGTAGACGGTGGAACATATGAGTTTACATTCGGATCGAACCGAAAGGTGAAAAGTATAACAGTAAAGCAATTTGATTTCAACTGGAAACATTCTGATGGTACGAAACTTGGGGATTTGACATTTGAAAAATCCAGATCAGGAGAATTGAGTCAGAACCCTAAGCAATACTATCAAGATGCTACTTCAACAGTGAGTTATGATAAGTATGAAAATACGCCTGTTAATGGACTTGGAACGAATAAGGCTAGAAAGAATGTTTATGTATTGGATGGTGTACTTAAGGCTGATTATCCTGTTAACAGAAAAAATGAAGAGAAGGAGAACAACGGTACAGTATTTGCACCGAAAGTAGAGGGTTGGCGTTACTACTTCCCGACCCTCTTTACGATCGAGCTTGAGCCTGACGAAGGCAAGGCAATCATTCAACACTGGACCACAAATGGTCAAAGGTTGAATGGGGTAGATCATTTCGTTGATAAGGAAGAAAAGCTGGAAAAGAACAAAGATTATAACTTCGTCCATACTGATCCTGGGAGCAATTACACATATGCAGGATATAAGAAAAGCACTGTGTCAGCACCTTCGGGAGGTAGACCAAGTGCAGGAGACCCGGGAAACTTTAATTACAATGGCTCTTTTCCTATATACTATCTAAATTTTTATTATGAACCGAAAGGTACGGATATCCCGAATCCAGGACTGGTTTGTACGAAACCTGAACCCGGTCGTACTTTAGAAGGTAAATATATGGATCCGTCTGCAACTGGAGTTATTAAGGCTGATGCACGAGGAAACGAACCTTTTGATGTGTTGAAGGGCATACCGACTTCGGAAAGCCTATATGGTAACGTCTTTAGCAAGGAATACTTGGTACAGAACACATTTGTGGAGATGTCAGGGATATGCACTTATACGGTAGTTGTCGAAGAGAACTGGACACTAACGTGGAAAGATCCGCGAGAGGTTCCGACAGCAGACGGTGGTACAAGAACAGTCTATGATGTTCCGCGATCGAAACCAGATGTAAGACGTCCAACATACCAAGTAGTTCGGCCATACTCTTATTGGGCTATCGATGAACTTAGTGTCTATAACATCCAAAAAGCTACATTGATGCAATATGCATTTTCTGGAGAACAGATCAATATTTTACCTTCTGGATATGAGCCACCTGAGTTTCAAGCGGAAACAACAGGCTATTTCTATCCTGCAAACAACCCAAGCCCAGTAATTGCACCTTCTCGGAGCAAAGACGGCGGTACGAGTGAACCAACTATGGACGAAGACAATTTGCAAAGCGTAGCTGAAGCAGCTATTCCGGATGTGCAAGTTGAAAATGACTCTCTGATCTTTAAAGGCCAGACGATCATGAATAAACAGCGTGTGGCCAAAAGTGGACCTCAGCCTGTGAACATCCCAGCACCAGGAGAGATCGGAAAAGATGTATTGTACAGCCCATATAACTACATTCCATCTAACAAGGTCAACAAGAAAGATGAGGTCAGCACAGGAACCATAGAGTTTATCATGGCTGCGGGCAGTATTAACACCGAAGAAGAGGAATTGGAGTACGAGATTAACGGCATAAATACGGTGACCGTGCATACTCCGGTTGTAAACTATTCAGCTGTGTCTGACGATCAGCCACACAATCAGAAGACTAAGCCCAATATGAGCCGGTCAGCGCTGATTTTGGACAGGCCATTTATTGTTCGGATCCCAACATCCGGTCAACACTTAGATGTGACGCAATATCCGGGGTACGGTAATCGAGATTACGCAAAGTATTTTAGAGCTAAGCAAGTTCGTTTCCCGTTCGATGTGTACACCGAGAACAAAAACCAATTGATTCCAAAAGATACTTGGATCAATGTCCCCGTAGACCAGCTGGATACGACATTTGAATTGCCCGTCTGGGTCGATGAAGGTGACTACCAGGTATATTTCCGAAACATCGCGGAAAACGCACCAGTTGACTACACTTATGAACAGGATGCCAACCTGAATCTCGCAAATCATGCTGCAGTCGATCAAGTGAGTGTTGAAGTTATTGGACGATTGTATGACTTCCACATCACGGACATTGCTGATTACAACTGGGAACGTGTCTTCCGGACATACATCGGGAGTAAGGACTCTACAGGGATGAGCTACTGGGTTGGTCAAAACGGCATCGATGGAGCACCGCGGGGAAATAACGAACCCTATACGCTGCCAATCCGTGCAGGTAGTAACCCATTGACCGGAATGAAAAATGTGGCTGTTAAGACAGGATATCATTTTAAATTCGACTTCAAGACGATGGGTAACATGTTTGGAACTAAAGATGGAATTCGGATAACAACGACATTCACATACGTAAGTAAGGATGGTGGCTCACCTATTCCGGTGGATCTATACTACAAAACCAACGACCAACCATTCATAAAAGTCGGATCTCCGGAAGATAAGGTCGAGCGTTATGTCATTTTGAACGAGCGCTTACGCAGCGTGCCGCAAGGAGATATCAAAAATGCAGGATACTGGCGGTACGATCAATACTTAACAGCAGACCAGCAAGCCGGCACGGACCGCGATCTCTATATGCGAAATTACGTTCTCAAGTACACGAAGAAGGCAACTCCGGTTGGAGGATACGCTCAGCTGCTGCTTCCGGAACAACTCAAAACATTGATCGGACCGAAGGAGATCCCATCCAACGCAACGGTCACTCCGGAACGAGCAAATGCATCCATTCAGCAATGGTCTGGGAATATAGCATCCCTGCGGACAGCTATGTAGTTGCACAGGGAACAGACTTGGCCGAATATGGCCGACTCCATGGTGGACTTACTGACAAGTCTCCCCTCTTCCTGAAGGAAGGCTATATCGTGGTTAACTTTGATATTGAATCGATTCAGAATGGAAACCTGCAGAATCCACATCTTCAGTACATTAATGCACCACTCATGAATCAATGGAGACTGGAAGGATATCGTCCGAACATCCTGGATTCGTTCATGAATGTGTTCAATCTTCGTGACGGAGACATTGTGTTCTATAATGCGGACCAATCCAGCCGCGATGATTTCAGCGCACAAGCTCCACACTAAAATATTCGGGGCAGACAACCTGCCCCACCCCTTAATAGGAAGGAGAACGGAATGGAATTTTTTGGGAAATATAGCGTACTCTTATTTTTTTTCGCTCTTTTTTCGATTTTCACACTGCAGACGCAGGCAAATGCAGAATCTAATGTGGATTTCCTCCTGTCACCAGTCAAAGAAGTTGAGCAATCTACTGGATATTATCGCGAAAAGGTGAAAGGCGGAGAAACGAAACAATACACGTTTTACGTAGAGAATTTGATCAAGAAACCGATTGACCTTTGGATCTATCCTGCAGATGCAGCACCGATGGTGAACGGCGGGAAGAGCTACACGCTGAAGGGTGAGAAAAACACGTCCGTAGGCTCTTGGATATCGCCTTCAAAGGAACAGATTATTCATCTTAAACCTAACGAAAAGAAGAAATATGTATACACGGTGAAGGTGCCCAAGGATCTGGATCCAGGGGAGTATGTCGGAGGGATTGTAGCCGAACAAATTCCAGATGAAGAAGCAAGTCCATCCCAGGCTCAAAACAAAGCAGTTCTGTTAATTGAGCGGATTCCACGCATCGGGGTACAGATCGTGTTGGAGAAACAGAAGGAGCTCGCTGTTCAAGATATGAGCATTGATGACTTCAAACACAGTTATATCAGTAACGGGTATTCGCAGCTGACCATTAAATTAAGCAACACAGGAACGGTTCTACAGCGACCAAACGGACTGATTATGATCCGAGATGCCAACGGTAAAGGGATTTTCAGTGAGTCGTATGACGGCTGCAGCGAACGAAAAGTCGATCTATGCCGGTAAGACCGCTGATATGGTCTATTACATAAATGACCAGATCCTTTGGCCAGGCGAGTATTCCGCTTATTTTAAGCCAACTTTAACGGCAAAAAAGTATCCAGGACGTTCAATTTCACCGTCACCGAAGCAGACGTAAAAAAAGCCCAGGAAAGCCTAAGTACTGCCGGTCTATTACAAGGAAAAGGTGGACTCCTGGATTGGTTGAAGGAACATCCATGGGTCATGTGGCTTGGTGCTGTACTGGTGATCCTCATCTTGGGAACATTCTTCTTATTCCTGATCCTTTTGCTCAAACGAAAAAAGAAAGAGGATGAGGAAGAACAGGTACGTCAGTCGCGCTGTAAGCCAAAACTGTTCACACACCCCAAGGTTCCGTGATCCTTTTTCATTGAGGGAGGTGGGTCCCATGTGGATTTTAATCAGCTGTTAGCAATATCAAGCCGAGACCATAAAAGGGATGTGAATGCATGAAACGCTTTTGGGTTTCTGCAGTGCTGGTTCTTGCCCTGGCACTGCCAGCCGTGGCCTCCGCGGAGGACATGGAAAAAGAGGTTCAGGTTAACGGAGGGAACCCGTTGTCACACAGTCGAAGTTAAATTTCACCGATATTACGCTTGCTGTTCGGCAGCTGCAAAATTCCCAAGCCGCAGCGACTACCCGGGTCATTGATGATCGCGGGAATGGAAGCGGATGGACCATCAGCCAATCGGGTACCGATTTCGTCACGACTATGGATGGACAGGAATTTTATATTCCGATTGATGCGGTACGAGTGACAGCAACCCTGAAGAACACGATCTCAGGAATTCCACTTGATTTCACTCAAGGGGGGCACATTGCTCAGGATCAAGTGTTATCGAAACAACCAACAACGCTCTTTTCCGCAGATGTGAGTACTGGCCAGGGAGCATATGATTTTGATCTCCAATATACATTGTCATTGCCACAAATCATCAAGACAAAAGAGGGTAAAGAAATTGGTATTATCGCTGGAACATACAAATCCACATTTACGACTACCGCAACATCAGGAATTTAAGGAGGGGTGAGAGACTTGGGAAACAACGAGAAGAAAAATAAAAAGAAATATAATATCCGTATAGGATGGAAACGAAGTTTGATTGTGAGTTTGGTCGCGGCTTTAATTTTGGGGACCTATTCTTTTGCTGATCTTGGACCCAAGGTCGAGGCGGCCGAGTATTCTCGTATCGTGAACTGGGATACATACACTTCGGATGCGGTGAATGGTATTGCAGTTTCTGCAGAATTAGAGAATGGTAAAACTTTGTATATCCCTGCACTCTATAGAGCTATAGGGTACTATCCGGGATATTCTGAATCTCCTGTAGGAGCGAGAAAATATCGAGACTATTCAGGGACTTATGCAGGAAAGTACACCAAAGCTGGAGCAAGAGATATCTCAGCATCTGGAGATCTGTATTCGGGGACTGAGCTAATAGCTTCTGGAGTTAAGGATTATGTGGTGGTCAGTGACCGACATTTTATATTGTTTGAAAATGGAACTGTAAGTGCCTGGGGTAAAGGCGCTGGCGGGGAATTGGGCATTGGGTATAAAGCCGATAAGACTGCTTTGTCCGAGGTAGTAGACCCTATATCCGGAGAACCTATGAGGGAATAAAGAAAATCTTCATCTTGGTCTCAAACTCTTCTCAACTCCAGGGATACTTATGGTAACGACGGAAAAGTCTATCTTATAGGTTACGGATTCGGTAAATCTTCTTTTAGTGAGGCAAAGCCGGTAGATATTTCTTCAAGCTTCCCAGTATTTACTTCTGCGAATGACTTTAATTTAAGTTATGTGGAAGGTATAGATTCTGCAAAACAAACAATCTATGATGGATCTACCAAAGGGAGTTCTGTAGAACAGTCTAGAAGAATCTTCACTGTCAATGCAGAAAATTACGCATTGATAGATATTATGGCGAACGACCAGGGTAGGGTGTTGGATTCAAGTATGTATGCAACCCTGAAAAAGATTCCTAACACTGTTAATCCTCAAACAATGAAGAGAATTTCTTCTGCATATAACACGTACAGCAATAATGCTGGAGCTTATGTGTATCAAGCTGATGGTAGAAGTAGCGCGTACTATTCACTTGACAATGGCACACTTACTTACTGGGGAACAACATACGATACCTTTGGGACATTCAACCCAAAAGTGGATTCCACCGTTAAGACTATAGCTACGGATGTAGAGTCGGCTACAGGCTTATGGACCGGCACTGTTTGGTATGTTAAGAAAGGAAATTTGTATGCTATCGGTTCCAATATTAATAGCGTGTCAGGTGTCCAGGGAGGAGCATTAACTTCGCCCACTAGAATTACTGGTCCAGGAAACGAACTGACCAAAGTATCTAAGTTTGAGACATCTCAGGCAGGTCGGTGGGTTTTGCTTGAAGATGGAACGTTGTACGCGTTTAAATATGCGGGAACGAGTTCGATCAAAAAAGTGAACATGAAATTCCTAGACATCTTCTCCCACAGTTTGGATTCCCTCGGAAAACAGGAGGTCTTTGGGATAGGGGAAGACTACAATTTGTATTTCCTTGACGATGCAGCGTACGCTCCTAAACTGATTTCTCAAGTGACAGCAAAGCTGGCTCCCGTAGACTATGTTGCTGCAGTAACGAATCCGGATAAACCAGTATTGTCGATATCTTCGCAAGATAAATTTAATCAGTCTGTCGTAACTATCAATTATGGAACTACGGCGGATATTGCAACAAAACAATATCAAATCAATAGCGGTGTGTGGACCGATTATACTGGTGAAATCGTGATTACTCAATCCGGTAACGTGACCATTCAAGCGAGATCTGCAGACAGCAATGGTAACATGAGTGAGGTTGGCGAGTTAACGATTACTAGTGATCCGATTGTCATTACTGCAGGTCATCCAAAGATCGATAAAATTGCTGCAGACGAATTTAAAATCAGCGCTGATGCCACAGGTACCGTTAAGGTACAGGTAAGAGTGGATGGAGCTGCGTGGCAAGGTTTTAATACGGCTAACAACTTGCTATTGACTCCCGGAAATCACACAATCGAAGTCAGATTACTCAATGATCGTGATCAAGAGCTAATTAACAAAACGTTTGATGTAACGGCAGATAACCCGGCACCAGTAGTTGTTGGTAAACCGGTCGTCACACAGAAAGGACTCAGTAATCTATATGGACTCGATATTGAGGTTTCGTATGATGCTTCTGAAGGAGAAGCACTGTACTCTATTGACGGTGGCGAGTGGATCGCTACCACAGGATCATTTAGCGTATCCAACGCAGCTCATACCATTCGGGCTAAAGTTGTGACCACAGATGGTAAAGAGAGTGAAATCACAGAGTTTGTAACTACCGTCTCTCAGCCGAAAATCACAGTGAATGCAGACCAGGTTTCAATCGATCTGGGCATCAATACAAATGATGTTACTGTGCACTACAAAGACAGCAATAATCAATGGGTGGAGTACACTGGCCCGGTAAGCTACGGTCCTGGTACACATAACATCGAGATCGAAGTAAGGGACAACACGGGTACGCCAGTATTTAATGGGGGTCCTTACACCGTAAAGGTTATTGATCCAAACGCTGGAAATCCAGGTGGCGGTGGTACAACACCTACTCCGAATCCGGGAACAGGCGATCCGATTGGTGAGGAAGATGTTGACTTTACAGTGAATAGTGGGGGAATTAGCTCTCGGTTTGAGGGTGCGGATCTCTCAACAATCATCATCGACAACACAAACCCATACCAATCTATTAACTCTGTCAGCCGTGCTTTAATCGAGGACAGCCGTGGAAACGGGAAAGGGTATCAATACAGCTTGGATGTGACTGATTTCGTATCAGATCCCATGCAGGATAACTCCACAAATTCACAAAGCTTGGTTGTAAGCATTCCGGCCAATTCCTTGTCCGTGGATGTACTTAATACCAAAACGATCACCGGCCCAGCAGCAGAGCTTTCAAACGTGGGTAAGCATGTCTTCACCGGGACAGGCCCTGAAATGCTGGCCACTGCAAGAGCATTTGAAGGGATGGGGTACGTTGAAATTCCGCTCAACTTTACGCTGAGTATTCCGGATCGTGTTAAAATCATCTCTTCCGGATCTGGAAGTAAATTTGTACCTGGTGAATCTACAGGTCTGATGGCCGGTATTTACAAGTCCAGATTTACATTCACACTCTCCTCAGGTATTTAACCATCTTACTCTTGGAGGGGCTTATAGATCCCTTCCAAGAATATAAATACTATAATGATAAAGGGATAAGACTTTGTTTATATACTAATTAATATTTTATTACTGTATGCTATCAAATTGACTAATTATATTAGAGGAAGGCTAGGTGAGTCATATGAACACTTTAGGAGAAATTGAAGTATCTACTAAAGAAACAGTACGAATGATAACCGAACGATTCTATAAAGGAGAGATAGACCAATTTCAATATATGGAGCAGATACTAACGTGCTGTTCGATGATCGGTGGACTTTGTTATTCATTAAAACGGTCACTAAGACAGGAAAACGAGTTGATTTCGAAGTTAGTTAGGCTACGTGATGATATCTCAAAACCCGTTATGCAAATGGTGTATGATAAGATAATGTCGTCTACAGTATATCAAATAAGTAATTGTGAACTTATAGAACTTGCTGTTTAACTTTTCTTAATATCAAGTAGAAAGAGAGGGAACTTCTTCTAAGCGACTTTTTAACTTTAGTTCTAGCATTTCCATTACATACCGAAATAATAAAAAGCGCTTGTTATCTTTTGAGAGGTAACAAGCGCTTTTTATAACGAGTCCTAATTTATTCTAAATTCAAACCGATTGTAAAAATGCAAAAAAACAACGTTGAATTTAGATAAGTAAAGCTTCAGCGGGGAAGTTCTTTATCTGATTTTCGGTGTGCTTCCGGAAAAGTTCATTCTTTTGTATAGTGAATATTTGAATAGCTTTATTGTATTCTTCGTTGGCTTGTTTAAATAAATGAAGACTTTCCAAATTGAAACCAAGTTGGTAGAGTAATTCTCCTAATAAGAAGGTTGTTTCTAATTTGTTGCAAGCTTTTATAGCTGTATTGCAAAAATCAATAGAATCTCCGTAACGATTAAGTTGAGTAAGTGCTTTTGCTTTACTATATAGCAACTTAATTTCAATTTGTAAATCTGAGATGTAATCGATTTTTTTAAGATTTTCAATTGCTTTATCAAAATAATTTAAAGCTTCAATATTATTTTTTTCTTCACTATGAATAATACCAATACTGTTAATTATCTCAATTTCTCTTTCTGAATATGAATGTTTATTTTGTCTTAGAGAAAGAGCATCTTGCAGTATTTTTAAGCTCGCCTCATAATTTTTTTCTAAATAATACTTACAAATTCCCTCTTGCCAATGAATCAATTGTTTAAATATTGGATCTTTATAATTTGGGCTTGCTTTTTCAATAGCAACAATGGCTGATATTTCGTAATAATTTCGTTCACGGAGGAAGGTTTTTATTTGAAGATTTAATTCTCTAATATATTCATAGTTAGGATAATTCATTTTTTCAATAAGGAAATCTAATGAAACATTTAATTTTCTTCCTAGTTTGTAACAAATGTCAACTGATGGAATGATATCACCTTTCTCAATTAAGCTAATTAATGCTTGAGTACATATACCGTTCGAGAGCTCTTTTTGAGTCATTTTTTTTTGTTTCCTTAGGTCACGTAATACATTTCCAAAACTAACCATTTATAATCCCCGCTCCTAATATAAATATTTTTATATTTATCTTTAAATATGGATTAAAACAGAGTAAAACTATATATATTATAAGGTAAATGGTGATATTTTCAATAAACATGTTATTTTTTCCTATTGTATAGTGGTATTGGGTATTTTGGAGGGGGGATAGATGCATGTTTAATATTATTATGTTCGTTGAAAGTATGACATATGCTGTGCTTGATTTACCGTTTCAGCATTAACATTTACGAAAAATGAGGACGGAGCTTAAGGAGAGGGGACAATATAAAAAGAAATCTAAATATCATATATTTGAGTTCAATTTTCACAGCATTATTTGGAAGAATATTTAATCTATATATTCCAATATGGATTTTCGAGTCATCACAAAATATAAATTTAGTACCTATCGGCAATATAGTAGCCTCAACTGCTGCAATTTTGACTGGGCTATTAGCAGGGTTTCTTGTGGATATATTTGATCGACGGAAATCTTTTATCTTCATTAATATCGCAGGTTGTCTAATATTCACTTCTGTTTTTTTCTTTGGACTAAATTATGTTCCAGTTATTTACATTATTATTTTTCTTGTCACTAGTATTACTAGAATTATTTATAGCCTGAGAATTTCACTTATACACGCATATGCTGATAAAAATGACCTGCTTATTGTGAATTCCCGGTTAGCGATCATCTTCTCATGCTCATTATTCATTGGGCCTCTTATAATAAGTTTTGGTTTTAACGAAATGTCTTTGAATAGAGTTTTCTTATGTTATGCAGCAATATTTTTAATGACTTCAATACTAGCGTTTTTATTAAAAAATAGCGAAGTTAAAGTGCCAATCAAGTCAAAAAAGATAGCTAACATAAAATCGTTTAAAGAAATATTTAAAAATCCTGTCTTGAGATACAACATTTTATTTGTAAGTGTCATTGTGCTTCAGGGTGAAGTGTACACTAGTTTGATTTATTTATATTTAAAAGGGGTTTTCAATGATGGTGAAGTGATCTACGGTAACCTTATAGCGATGCAAGGGGCAGGTAGTATAGTATCGGGCATAGTAATAAAGTATATTCACAATAAAATTTCATCTGCCAATTTTATGTTTACTTTTGCTTTAGCAATTGGTTTGCTTGAAATAAGTTATCTTTCATTTCCTAATGTAACTTATATGTTTGTTGCCATTTTTGTTATAGGTTTCTTAAATCAGACGATGATGGTTTACACTACAACTGTATTTCAAGAAAATATTTCTACTGAAATAGTAGGTAAGGCCGTTAGTGTTAAACAAACGATCGTTAATATAACATCTTTGGTAGGTTCATCGCTAGCAGGCGTTTTGGTAGTAGCTTTCAATGTGAAATTTGTATTAATAACAAGTATTGCTATTACTCTTCCTGTCGCTTCTATCTTAAGTTACTCTATGTTCAAAAAAAGAAAGTTCCAATCTAAGGGGCTGACTATATGAATACAATTTTTTTAAAAAAACAAAGTCATGTAATTATTGAAGAAAAATTTGCTGCTGTGTGTGAAAAATATAATTATGAGAAATGTTACGCAAGCCCCATGGTTAGAAACGAGATAGAAAAACCATATTTCACTTTTTCTCCGTTGCTCAATGTGCTTTCTTGTTTACAGGGGAACAGACAGACCATCCCTCTATTTTTATGTCTCAAATTTGTTATAGAACAATGGAAAAGTATAAAGTTATAGAGAATCCATTAGTTACCAGCTTTCAAAAGTTATTAAGTGTTTTTGACACAAACTACACGTCATTAAAGAAAATTGTCGATTTTTCTAAAGAATACTTTTGTGAAGGGTTGGGATTAGATACTTCAAGGATATATTGGCTTATCAGTGAGACTAATGAGGAATTGAGTAAGGAACTTTCTTTTAAATTTCAAAATATCATGTATTGTACACCAGAACATTTAGTTTGCAATATTCCTTCTATTGAAGCTAAGTGCTATTATGCCAAAATATTATATCACTACAATAATGGTCTTGTTCCTATTGCAAATTATGTACTAATTGATCAGCAAAAAGAGCTTGCTAAAATAGATAGCGTATTTTTCTTTGACAGAATTACTTTTATCCTCGAAGAAAAAAACAGTATCTATGAAACTTATCTATATAAGAGCTTAGTAGGTAATTTAAAAAGTTATCTTACCAGCTTAGAAGACACTGAGCTGTACTATCTGTCAAATAATTTATTAATAATAATGGCAATGTTTCACTCAGGATTAATTCCAGGAAGCAATAAAGCTGGTTACGTTCTTAAGAAAACACTTAGAGAATTTTTTTCGATGTTTATTCTCCAAGAAAAAGAACTAACTTTAGAAGACGTATCTTCATTAGTTGCTTGTGCAGAGGAAACATTAATTAATTATGATTCTCAATTTATTAAAACGATAAAGCATGCCGCCATTTATGTTTTTAAAGAATATGAATTATATAAGGGCAACATTACTCGGAATGCAAATAGGGTAAAACAAGAGTTATCAAAGGACAACCATATAACAGAAAAAAAATTTAAAGATCTTCATGGAACATACGGAGTACCGATACAAATGATGTATGTATTCTGCGATCAACTTGAAATAAGTTATGAAAAAGATAAAGAAGCACAAAAGTATAAAGAACGTAATCTTCCCTATCGTTATAGAGGGAATAATCAAGATTTTGAACCGAAGAATTGGTTAAATAACAGCAAATTTCGGAGTGGAAATAGTAATAGATCTAATGGAGGAGTGTAAGAAATGGACAATACAGTTAAAGAATTGATTCAAAAGGGCCTACTCATTTTAGGTGAAAATGTTGAAATTCAGGAACAGGTTTTACTCTGTCAAAGAGAAGAGGGGAATCTTGGAGAACTTAAGCCGGTACATATCGGTAGTAATACTATCATTAGAAGTGGTGCAATCATTTATGAAGGGGTGTCTATCGGCTCAAACTGTAGAATCGGTCATAGAACGTTATTGCGTACAAACTGTTCCCTTGGAGATGAGTGTGTAATTTCTCATAACGTGGTTATTGAGCATCACTCCGAACTAGGAAATTGGGTTCGTATTTCTCCACATACTCATGTAACTAGTCGTGTTGTTATCGAGGATCGAGCTTTTCTTGGTGCTGGTGTAGTTACTATTAATGAAAAGTATCTTACATGGAAGAACAAATCAAAAGAGTCGAATTTAGTCCCTCCGTACGTTGAATACGGTGCACGTGTGGGGTCAGGATCAACTTTATTGGCTGGAGTACGGATAGGAAAAATGTCTATTGTTGGCGCAGGTTCTGTTGTGACAAAAGACATACCTCCTTACAAAGTTTCTTATGGCAATCCAAGTCGAATCGTATCTGATTTATATGAAGAACATTCTACTCCAAATGGATTTTAAAATATTTGTTATGGCTAGCTTCGTATAATCTTCTTCAAATCACATCAATGGATAATCATACAT